CTTGAAGACTCCATGTAGAATGAATATAGTTTCGATGCCGTCTTTGCCTTATAATTATTGTATTATATTTGTTAGATTTCTCTCTTTATTATATAAAGATGCCTAATTGAAGACTTAAGTTGACTGAAGGTACATCAGACAGGAATCTTTTTCAGGGGAAGAATATCACATAATTTGTTTACAATTGGTGACGCCTCTGTTGTTATTCTTTCTGGGAAGACTTCTTTTATTGTGTCCTCTTTTCTTACACATTTATTCATTGATTGGCAGTTTACAATGGAAATGGCTGCTACTGAGACATCACATGTTCCAAAAAGTTACTCTCTGAATATGTTTAAAGACTTTGTTCCTATGTGTGTGTTCTCTGAAACAAATCAAGGTAATGAGTTCTATATGCTTTGCTTTCAAGTAGTTAAGTTTCCTTGTCCTATGTATTACTTATTAATTTTTTTATTATGGCATGCATTGATGGCTAGAAGTTCTGAATTTTTATCTGACTTTAAAGGGAAATTTTTGATACATTGACTGAAGTAGAAATTGGCTTCTTCATAATACAATATTCTAATAAATGTGATCTGGTTTGATTGTGAATGTCAACTTGTCTGCTCTGAATTATGATGATGGATTATTGGAATGGCAGTTGAAGACTTACAACAGGCATGCCAAAGCAGTTAGTTTGTATGATTACCATGGGCAGAATGTGTGGTAAACTTAGCACTTTAGACATCTTCAAAGTTAATTTCCTTGCCTGGAACTGTCATACTTTACTACTTATAGATGCATTTTTTCTCCAACTTCATATTCTTTTTGTAAGCAAAACTTTTGTGGCTTGTGAAGACGTTTTCAAGAATTTAAACTATTGTGAAGAGCAATATTTTCCTGTTGACATGTTTAGTCAAACTAAGTTAGAAGGGCTTTTCTGAAGTGCTTCACCTCTTCTTTTCTTATTATATAGGTAGGGTTGGTACGGAAGGGAAGGTTGAGCATAAATTTGACATGAAACCCCATGAGGAAAACATTGAGGAGTATGGGAGGTTGTGCCGTGAAAGAACAAATAAGTCCATGATCAAGAATAGGCAAATACAGGTAGCACACTGAATGCACATTTGATTGGATATGGATTTTTCTTCTCTATTTTAATTTGACAGAAAATTCCTGTGCCCTTGATGTGTTTTGTAAGGTGATAGATAATGACCGTGGAGTGCACATGAGGCCCATGCCTGGAATGGTTGGCTTGATTTCATCCAACACCAAGGTATGGAATTTATTAGTGCTTAATATTTGTTTTGAAGCCTCATGCTTGGTTTCAGTGAGTAACTCTAGCTTATTATTTGCAGACATTGGACAAAGTTACATTTTTTGTATTCCATTGGACGAAGTGCCTTTAGCTTATTATTTTGCTTATCCATGCATCTTCCTATTACCATGTGTTTTGGGTCCCAGGAGAATGATTTTATTTATTTTCCACACAAATATTCGAGGACAAACTACAAATCTATTAAGAAGAGATTGACACCTTCCATTGTCAATTATCTATGAACAGGACAAGAAGAAAACAGCACCAGTTAAACAGTCAGACATGAAGAGAACCAGAAGGGATCGTGGGGAATTGGAGGATATAATGTTCAAGCTGTTTGAAAGTCAACCAAATTGGGCTTTGAAGCAACTTGTGAAGGAAACTGATCAACCTGCGGTAAGCTTTTCACTGTCTCCACTTCTTACTATTCTCACCTCATGCAATTCATCAGGTGAGACTAAGTGCTTAAAGATCAATATGCACATGTTTGAAAGTTATTAACACGTTCTTTGTTGCAGCAATTCTTGAAAGAGATACTGAATGAGCTATGCGTGTACAATAAGAGAGGTACTAACCAGGGAACTTACGAGCTGAAGCCAGAATATAAGAAATCTGTTGAGGATACAGGTGCTGACCAATAGTAATCCAGATCCCTCAGTACATGTACAATAATTTTTTTTAATCAGATGAAAGTAAGCAGGGTTAAGAACCCTTATGAAATAGCAAGAAACATCAGCAGAACAAGCAGTGAGCCATGCTACGGGAAATTAGATTGATAAGGTGTTTGAGGAAGCATTCTATGCGGCTGGTTCTTTGAATTCATGCTGTGTATTTATAAGCAGAATTTTTCGAAACCTGAGTATAAAGCTAGAGAAACGAAATTGACGTTTACTTTGAAAATGTTTATCAACAAAAGATTTGTGTCAAGTTCATTTACGTGCATCCGAATTATACTGTTGCCAAGCATCTTGACTGGCGAAGTCAGATTCTTACTTTATGCTTGTGGCCTGCAGTGTCACAACATTGTTCATTTGATAATATGGTTGATGATTGAACCAATGTTGCTTTGAACAAAACCAAATTGCATGAGCTAAAGAATGAGTAGGCAAAGCTGAGTAATCGAGTATGAAAGAGCAGGGATGTGGCATATCCGTAAACTCACTTGTTAATGGACCCTTATGGGCCGAATGAAAATCAACCGTGGCCTACTAAAAGTCGAGAATATGGGTCCAAATTAGAGGAGCGGTTCGGCCTTTTACTTTTCAGCTTTAAGGTAAGGATACAATGAACACCTTTTCCTGTACCTCCCCAGTGGAGAGAAAAAGGGAAGAAGTAGAAGAGGCATGAATGTCCTTCGGTTGAAAATGAAGCATTTATAAATCGTAAATCAGAATCGTTCATGATAGAGGATAAATAAAGTATGGTCATGAAATAACACTTTTTCTACTCATTATAGAAATCCTTCATGAAGAAACCTTAGTTTTTTATGGGTAAGCATTACACTAGATCGAACCTAGCCAGTTTGCTTGAATTCCACGGATAGCTGTCATCTAAGCAAGAATATTTCGTTCACAATTCTATGAGTTATGATGTTTCACAATCTTTTCTTCACTGTAATCATTATGCATGTTTATGCACTAAATATGTATTTATATCAGACAAATCGTTATAGATTCTTTTGACTATTTGATGCGTATTGAAATTGTCAATTAAGATTTCTCCATTCAATGTGCTTGTTTGAGATAGAAAGATCAAATTCTTTTTGCCAATCTCATCACTTTGGCACATAAGGCAATTATATGTTTTTTTTTTTTTTTTGTAGGTTTAATTGTTCTTTTGTCGACATACTAATTAATATTTGTTATGTACAGAAAAATGAGGAAATTAAAATGAGTTTGTAAGCAAAAATTCTCTAGGCTTTATATCCTTATGCATGGAGAGGTGGATATACATATACAATAGACTCAAAATACTATATACATTAATTTATATTTAAACTTGTAACTCAATTAATAAAGTACATATTTTCTTTATTTTTAAGAGATAGATTCAAATCTTCTACTCCTTATATACTTATATATTTGTATATATGTGTACATCACATATATCATTGACAGTTTAAGACACCATCACATATTTGATTTTGGGTTAAGATCAGATGAGTTCAAATCACTACATTTTTAAGGACTTCTCTTCTTTTAGACTGTTAAACGAAAAAAGATTAGGACATGTACATTAATTAGCTCGTTAATGGAATGGGTTCTGGCTTCAAAAGACTGGTTAGAGTTAATGCAAGCACGTCTACTAACCAAAATGCCAAGAATGGTGTACGTGGCCAGGCTATCGAGTAGTTGTTGAAAACAATTGATGCATGGAATTAAATGAGCCCTTCTTTTAGAACGAATGGGCAACGCAATATTGTGTGTGTCGACCACTGAATCGGGCTGTCAGACCCACGCCAGACCGGAGATGCGGATCTTGACAATGACCAACTAGGAATCTTTCTTATTAGTCATCAACGGAAGGTTTACACGACACCCTTTAGCTAAAAGATTCCAATACCATCTTTTCAGTTTCTCATGAATGAATGAATACAGATATGAGCCGAATTTCGATCGACTTGGCCTAAGAGGCTTCAAAAGGGAATCATGGGTTTTTGAAGGCACCCCATTTTAGGGATGGACCCTTGTTCCACGATTTATAATGTGCGCACATTTTAATCGAGGCTTTGTCAATTCTCCCATGAACGTGGATGCTAAAGGTGGAAAATGCAATAACTGAAGAGAGAGAATAAAGAAGAGAGTGCCAAAGATATATGGTAGATTGATTGATCGATTCGTATATATATCTTTCTCATTTCACCAGTTTCCAAAATGTTTATATGATTTAATTACAATCTAAGACCAAAAGACAATGATTAATACATTTTTTGATTGAATAAAGTCTACAATATATTAATTAAAACAGACGGACAAAGCAAAATAAGTATATATATTAAACTTAATTAGTTATGCATGGTTTGCATACAAAACTTATTGTTTTTATAGAAGAAATTAAAGCATAGAAAAGAGGAAACAAAAAGAAGGGCATAATAAAATTTTATTAAATAATGTGAAACTGATACATAAAAACCTTTTATATGGAGACTTAAATAACTTTGGACGGAGGAATCATAAATCTATAATAATAATAATAATATCAAATTTCAAATTTAATTCTCATAATTGATTCTTTAAATTCCTTAATATCTCTCTAACCATTTTTGTTAGAGTAAGAGATGAAATGGTCTTTTGAATCAATCGATTTACATGCATATTGGACCAAAGTTGCATACTTTTTTTTTTTTTATGGGAAATAGAGAATATATTAAGTAATAATAAATTATAACAAAATCTCCATCTCATGGTATATAACCAGAATAAAAGTGTAAAAAAGGATGTCAACTTTATAATTTTTTTTATTTAAGGATGTTAATTTTGTTAATTTTTAAATAAATATGTCAACTTTCAACATTTTCTATTTAAGGATATCAACTTTTAACTTTTTTTATTTAAGAATGCTAATTTTCAACATTTCGCTTAAAAAATTCATTTGTTACATTAGCATCATTATCCAATTAATCCTTAAATAGAAAAAGTTTAAAGTTGGTATCCTTAAAAAGAAAAGTTGAAAGTTGATATCCTTAAATAGAAAATGTTGAAAGTTGTCATCCTTATTTAGAAATTGACAAAATTAACATCGTTAAATAGAAAAAATTGTAAAGTTGACATCTTTTTTTGCACCTTTACTCTATATAGCCACAATCAAAATAACTTAAGGATAAAACCAGAAGCATAACATACAGCACTAATAACAAATTTAAACAATACCCATAACGGATATAGACAATTAAGTAAAGAGAGCCATTCGCAACTATGGATTAAATTTACAATCATTGTATGAGCTAAATAATGCTACTAATGTAGAAAGGGGAGTCACTATGAGCATTAAGAACTACTAGACATCCTCGCTTATTTAACCGGCTTCTTAGGAAGAGAAAGGGATTCCGGCAAGCAACAGTCCCTAACCTACAAGTTATCACCCTATTTGTTCTGAAAGAAGAACAACCAAGAAGGGTATGAGCCTTTTCTTGACAAGCACAAGGCCCCCCAGTTGCCTCCATATACTCCCAATTATGTTCCCATCTTTGTTGATCCTTTTCAAACTCATGCTATTGAAACTCATTAAGGGAACTAGAGCCCCTTTGTCATCTTGAAAATCATGCTTCCCATACAGACCATAGCCGGCCTTACCAATAGCATCCCTTTCCTTTGGTAATCGGTTAGCTGATCGGGAATTGGTGTGAACTAGATTTGTCGAATTCGACCCCGCCAAGATCCCATTTGAGGAGATGCACCAAAGTGAGATTCTTGCCCGTTAAATAGGAGAAACCCACTTCACTGACAATATTAATTCTAATCGCACGCTTCGAAAATCAACAAATATAAACCCTAGAAAACCCAAAAAGTTGCTGCCTTGTGGTCTCTTAGGTTGGAGTTTCCAAAGCAAGATAGTGACAAGAGGAAGGAAGAGATCAAGAGGAGGAAGGGAGGAGTAAGAAGAAAGGAGAGATGAAGGAACTCTTATACCAGAGAGAAACCCAAAGGAGGAAAACCTGCGACACTGCTCTCAACCCTAGAAGCAGTGCACGGGAGAACCTTTATGTATAAATTTGCATACTTAATTACTCTAATAAAAGACCAATTAATTATGAGAACGCTAAATTCCTACATCTCTTTAGTGAAATTAATTTGTGATTCTATCACACGGCACTTTCTCTTCTCCAATCCCGAAAAATCAACACCCTCTAGCAATACTTGTTATTTTAACTTCATCTTTATGGATTGGAAGTTGGGAAAGTTAATTAATGGAATTGAAATTGGAACTGCATAATGGAGATTGATCATTGCTCACAAAATATCACATTGATGGAGACATTTTATAAGCAAAAGATAATTAAGAAACTCTATCACGCATCATTCATTCTTTTCTTTTGCAGTTATATATTCCAAATTTATCATTAAATTAAGTAGAGAGCTCTTTTGGGAAGATAAATATATATTATTAATTTGTGAACCTTAAACTAATTACCAGCCTAGGAAGTGAGAGTTCAAGCAAGAAAAAGGCTTGTGATGAGTAGGTTATAGTCAATTTTGGTGACTCAATGCATGTCAATCTCATGCATTGAGGATACAGATATTTTTGGTCAAAAAGAGGAAGAGAGGAAATTAATCATTCAACCATATATCAAAGACCTAGTCTAGTTGGATTTGATCAAAATTAACCTTTATTATTTAGACTATAGCACACGCAATTTGTAAAATTATATGAACTCATCTAATCACGTGTTGGGAAATGGCTCTTAACAAAAGCAAGTGATGCCATAGGCTTTCACAAGATATCTCGTCTTAGTTTGCAAACTGTTCTTTTTGACGGATGGGAATGTGGAATCACTTTATTTGCCCAAAGCTAGCTCCAAGCAAAAGCAATCCAAGAAATATCAGGACTGTTTAGTGCGTTTATCTCTTAGCAAGATTAAAAAACAATGTGAAAAAGGGGCAAAGCAAAAAGATAAAGCTAGCTAGGGGGATCTTTCCAAAGGTAGGAAGATCAGTTAATTAGGTTTCTAATTTCTCAATTTTTATCCAGGGTGACATATGGGGTCTCATCATCGTGACGGAGAGTAGGTAAAAAAGTTTCCAGCTTTTGGAGATAGGACCAAATTCAAAGTTCCAAATGAATATCTATATATATATATATATATATATATAAAGTGGGGTTCTTTTGTGATTATAATTAACTTTCAATCTCTTGGAAGTTTTTTCTGAGGATTTAGTTAATTTTTTTCGTATACATTGAAGATTAGCTAGCTACTTAATATTATAAAGATTTAAATTATATTGTTAACTTTGATTTAATTTACTAATTCAATCAAATTTTTATTGATAAAATTAATTAGTTGTTAATTGATATACTTGAAATCACACTAATTTGTTCAAATTTGATAATATGTAGCTTTGAATGATGCATGTTTCCTATCAGAAAAATGGATCGGTAGATTGGATTTTGAAAAGTAGGAAAAATGAACCTAATTCAAAGGGTATATTTTTGAATGTAAACAGATTGCAAAGGTTAGATATATGAAGAGAACTCTACTGAAGGTGACTAAACGATGAGTCAGTGATAAAGAGAGTGGAAAAGAGGTGATTTAGATCTTGATTGAGAAAAAGGAATGGATATTTAGGCCCATCACTCTGATGATAAGGTTGATCTATCTAGAGACTAGAGAAGAGAACTCAGTGCGCAACTGAAATGTGACTTAACATCATGAGAAGCCAATATATATGTGACCAGAAAAGCATATTAATTAGTTTGGGACAATAATGTTCACTGGTCCAGAAAGTGCGCTCAACATCCTGTTTTGGCCTATGAAGGAACTATATATGTCAATTAATGGATTCCCAAATCAATCCCCAATTGCATGCCCTCAATCATGCATCAAGACCTTCAAAAAATTCTGCTACTCGGGATGGTGTTTCCGTGAATCATATATGCCATAACACTTAATACACAACTATCTAGAGAGATAGTTACATATCAGCTTCTACAAAATAGTCAAAATATCTCCATCTAGCTTGAAGATTAATTATATTGTAACTAAAATGCTTGACATGACATAATGACCAAGGAATAAGTTTGTTCTAACAAACATTATTATGGATAATGATATGCATTAAGGAGACACTGCATGCTAACAAACCACGGTGTGGTTCCTTGTGTCGGTGCCTCATTTTACCATCTTCTCTCCACGCACGTAGGTTTGTTAATTATTGAGAAAAATTGTTAGAAAAAGAGAGAGGCAAAACAAAAGCTTGATGACGAAAAGAGTTGTTTTGAAGCGTTAAATAGATGTCATGTCACTACTCTTCAAGGATTCGAAAATTTTAGGAGCATATAGTCAGTTTGATTTGGGTCAAAAGTGTGTAGTAGTCTTGGAGAGCCCCGACCAGAGCAGTGCACCAGACCTGGTTGCTCTCAAGATTCTCCCGTGCGAGAAAAAAAAACTGTTGTAGCTGTCAGCCATGTACTTATGCCATTAACAACACAACTGGATTGGTCAGGCCGGTGTGCGACCGGGTCAGGACCCTGACTCAACCTGGGTTACAAAATAAAGTAATTTGGCTGTCAGATATTGAAAAAATTTACATTTAAAAAATAATAATAAAAGAAGGGAAAAACACTTTGAAGATGAAAAAATGATGGTAAGAGAAAAAGTAAATTGTTGCTGGGCAGGCTCTGTTTTTATGTTTTTTGGAAATTAAGAATGATGGTGGTCTCTATAGAGGGGGATCAATATGTCTCTTAAAGTGAAGAGTTGATATCAGAAAGATTTGCCCAGATAAACTTTGGGAGTGGAGAAGCCTTAGTGGAAATACTTCATTGCGTTTTCTTGAGGGAATAATCATCATCATTTAATTACCAAAAAACAAAAATTTGACTTGTAATAATATAGTCAAACAAATTAATGGAGGATCAAATATGAGGTATGTGTTACGCAAAAATTAAAACAGGTGCAAGATCAAGTGTGGTGTGTGGATATGCATAATATATAAGGGGATCTCCAAGGTTCGATTTTTTTATGACCATATTGACTTAGATTATTCATGCCACTTGATATAATAGTTTAAGGATAGTGATTAGTAATTTTGTTTAAATTGTTAAAAGTAGATATTTGATAAATTTATTTATTTTAAAATTATTATAAATTAAGTATTTAATACAATTTTTTATTTAATGATTTGGAACTAAGATATAACAATTAGGATATAAATTGTTAGTGTATTGAAAAAATTACCTAAAATTACTTTTTATACTGATCTGTTAACGAATTAAAATTTTTTAATTTTATTGAAAAATTTATTCATTTTAAATTTGTAATTTTTTGCCATAGTTTTTAATTAATACTTATGTAATTAGTTTTAAATTTATTTTTTGTCTTTAATAGTATAGAGTAATTATTATATTTTTATTTTTCCATTAATTTATCATACAAAATATAGTAACTTAATAAAAAAAATTTACTAATTAAACGAAAAGATTAAATTTTTTATACTTTATTTAAAACTAATATAATTTTTTTAAAAATAAAAATCATTCTATGACTACACTGTTATTATTATTATTTTTTATAAAATTAAATTTTAGTAATAAAATATATAAAAAGAAAAAAATACACTTAATTATTTTTAGATATATTCATATTAGTTATTTAATTTTAAACAATAATCATTAACTATTATATAATTAAACAGTTATATATTAATTAAATCCATTATCTATGATTTACTATCTACTTTTTATTATTCATTACCTACTATCTACTAACTTTCATCTATTAATCATTATTATTATCCATTATCTCTTATCCTCTATTTACTACCTACTTATTTTTAATCATTACACCAAACATGAGCATAGAAGCCGAAAGAACAAGTTTTTTAAAACAAAAGTATATACTGCTTAAACCTGAAAAAAGTACGTACAAATTTAAATAACAAAGCATATAGAAAAGAAAACACCAAACATGAGCATAGAGGCCGAAAGAACAAGTTTTTTAAAACAAAAGCATACACTGCTTAAACCTGAAAAAAGTACGTACAAATTTAAATAACAAAGCATATAGAAAAGAAAATCTTGTTTTTTAGTTAAAAGAATGCTATTTTATAATTTGAATTATATTAATATAAAATATGACCTGTTTTTTTTAACTGGGGAAATTGAGGCAATTAAAGAAAGAAAAATGAGGATACAAGGAAGTTAATCTTTAATGGTGTAGATAAAACACTCATACGATAATCACATAAGGTACCATTTAAGTTTTTTATAAAATATAATTGTTAAATGGAAAGATAATTATTTTAATATCAAATCTCCTATCTAATCATTTAATCATATAGTTTAAAATTATCTAAACCCTATAATATTTTTTAAAATAATATTATATAAATTTATAAATTTATAACATAATATATCATTAAATAAACATAATTTGTTATATTAAATTAATAAATATATAATATTATAAATATTTTTAAAAAAAATTAATTATATAATAATATATTATATTATAAATTTATAATATAAAATAATATTCCAATTATAATATTTTTATATTTTTTAATAAAAAGGCATCCAATTACATAACCCTCCTTTTTAATAAAAAAAATACAACAAAAATGAAAAGCAAAGACTTAGGGGGATGTGTTGGGTGGGTGTAGGCCTGTAGGGTGGGGTTGAACGGGCTTTATGGGGTGGGCACCAAACCCATCGCCGATCGCTCCCACTCGTGCGCGCTGCTATCTATCAATGGCGGCTCAACCCAGCCCAGCCCAGCTCTGCCCTCCACTTTCATCATTAATGGCATGCTGCCAAAACAGAACGTCTTAGATCACTAGTAATAATTTCTCTTCAATTTTTTTTTTCCACTGTTGAGTCTGCAGTGGAGAATGTGGGAGACAACCTTTTCCAACTTAAAAACATTTTGAAGGGGGGCCAACTAAACAGTTGACATTACTTCCTTTTCAGTCCATCCGCGGGCCATTGCCGGCCCACTCCTCCCTATATTTATATCTCCCTTTGCTTTACCTAGCTATCCATCAATTCACCATCAACTTCTTTGATCTCTCTTCTTAATCAATTTTTTCTCTTCCCTTTTTGTGAGCTTTGACATGGCGGATGCTGGTGGCTCAGGCGGGGATAAGAGGATGTGGTGTTCAATTCCGGAGCGGCTGCAGCTGCATGCGGCCATGTTGGCCTTGCAGTTTGGCTACGCTGGCTTCCATGTTGTCTCTAGGGCTGCCCTTAACATGGGCATCAGCAAACTTGTTTTCCCAGTTTATAGAAACATCATCGCTTTGCTTTTGCTCCTGCCCTTTGCTTATTTTCTTGAAAAGTAATTAAATACCTTTTCTTTAACACTAATGCTTGAGTACATATAGCCTTTTAATTTCATTAGTCTACGTTAATTTAATTTTCATTTCTTTCTTGTGTGTAGGAAAGAGAGGCCAGCCATTACCCTAAATTTCCTGTTGCAGTTCTTCCTTCTTGCTATGGTTGGGTATGATCAAGATCATATTAAAAAAAAAAAAAAAAAAAAAAAACCGAAGTGGAGAAAAATGAAACCCAATTTTTTAAAGTAATGAACTCCTAATTACCTTAAACTAAAAACAAAATTAACTGGTATTCTTTTAATCTACTTGGCAGAATAACAGCAAACCAAGGATTCTACTTGCTGGGGCTAGACAATACATCACCCACCTTTGCGTCGGCAATTCAAAACTCCGTTCCGGCCATTACATTTCTGATGGCGGCCATTGTCCGGTAAGCCTCTGTCCCTTCCTCGGCCTCTTTTTTTCATGCATGAGTATTGCACCTCTTTCTAATTGGTTTTCTTTTGGATTTCCTGTTTTCAGGATAGAAAAAGTACGATGGAACCGGAAAGATGGAATAGCAAAAGTGATAGGAACTGCCTGCTGCGTAGCCGGGGCGACGGTGATCACTCTGTACAAGGGTCCAGTAATATACAGCCCTCTTCACCGCCTGCACAGACCCACACCACCCATGTTTGTTTCTTTTGGAGATGCAAATGGAAAGAACTGGACTCTCGGCTGCATCTATCTCATCGGCCATTGCCTGTCCTGGTCTGGGTGGCTCGTTCTACAGGCCCCGGTTCTCAAGAAGTACCCTGCCCGTCTCTCCGTCACCTCCTACACTTGTTTCTTCGGTCTCATTCAGTTCTTGATCATCGCCGCCATTTTCGAGAGAGACCCTCAGGCCTGGATTTTTCACTCCGGCGGTGAACTCTTCACCATCCTCTACGCTGTTAGTAACTTCCAACCAAAAAAACTGAAACTTTTCCAGTTAAGTTACAAACTTTTTCCGATTAACCAGAGGAAATTACTGTGTTGAAAATGCAGGGTGTGGTCGCATCAGGGATAGCCTTTGCCGTTCAGATATGGTGCATTGACAGGGGTGGCCCTGTTTTCGTAGCTGTTTATCAGCCTGTCCAGACTCTTGTTGTCGCTATTATGGCTTCCATTGCTTTAGGCGAAGAATTCTACTTGGGAGGGTAAGTGGGTCCTCTTTCTCTCTGATCACCTTTAAACCACCTCAATCATGCAGCCATGGGGTCCCCTGTTTTCATCCCCAACCGCATGATTGATGGATATCTAATAATCTATCATGGCTGCCATGTGTACAGGATCATCGGGGCAGTATTCATCATAGTGGGACTCTACCTTGTGCTGTGGGGAAAAAGTGAGGAGAAGAAGTTTTTATTACTAGAAAAGGCTTTGATCCAGTCCATTACGGAGCACGGGAACACCAGAGCATCAACCCAAATCAAGACATCTTCTCTCTCTCAGCCTCTCCTCCCTCCATCAACGGAAAACGTTTGATCATCATCTCTATAAGAACCCTCATTAACCTTTAACTTCAGTGTTTGCTAGCTGGAAAATGGCAGAAAGTGAACCACCAGCTATATCAGAAATGTTTGTGTGTGTATGTTGTTTTCCCTTTTCCCTTTCTTTTTAATTTGTATTTTGCCCCTCTTTTTCTCTTTTAAGTTGTCCAAGAAGCACAGAGAGGGTTAATTTTGAAGGGGATGTACGTCATGATGATGATGATGATCATGAGTGTCACTTGTGTAGGCTACCTGAGCCAAAATTCCCATATGGTTTTTTATATGTTAGTTAAGTTTATGGTTTGATTTTTACTACTCTTATTACGTGCACATTAATTATGATGGTGTTATGCTATTAATTACTTGGACCCACAATGTTTCCAATGGTTAAGCGACACATATGTCATCACTAATGTTTTTCCTTTTAGCTAAAGATGCCCAAACATGATGATTTTATGCTCATGATCATTAATTCAATAATTCAATGTAATTGGGTGAATAAAAGAAGACTTATAGAGTAGTTGACTAATTTATTAATAAATTGATACTTTTTTATTAGTATAATCAAGGTTAAAGCTTTCATTTCTTCTCCCTAAGTCTCTCTTTGTAAAGGTTTCAACTAATATTTCGATTTGTACGACTGTACCATAGAAAAACAAAATATGATAGGATGGATGGGAATCATTATTGTTGTCAAAATCTAGATTTAAATCTTAAAATCTTATGATTTTACGATTTCAGTAAGATATTTTGTGTAAAATTTATACTAAAATCTGAAATTTATAAAATCTAGATTTTACCGTGAAATCAGGTAAAATCTCGATTTTACCTTTTGTTTGGCGGTTGGATTTTAGCCTATTTTCTTTCGGTTTTCTCATTTTGGGTTAGTGAGTTTTGACTAGATAACCCATAAATTAAGCTCATTTTTCATTTTAAAAGCCCACAACCCACACAACCCAACCACAAATCAACATTTTAATCGAGAATTCGGGACAAATTTGATTTAACTATCTAAAATTCTAAATTTAAGTCATCTTCTTCGTTTAATTTATTTGTGTTATTGGATATTTAGATTTTAATTAGCTAATTTCAAGTTTTTAACTTTAAATTTGATTTATGTTATTTAATTTTGATTTTATATAATTTATTATATATTATAAATTAAATTTTGTAAAATCTCGATTTTATCAATTTGATTTTACGATTCCGATTTCACTTAATCAAAACGATTTAAGGTAAAATCTCGATTTTGACAACATTGGGAATCACACTAGCAGTAATTTGCTGTCAATGTTTAGTCTTTGCTATGATCATCAGATGTAATCTGTGATGATGTTCAACAGAGTGATTGTATGCAAAATATCAGGCATGTTATTATTGTTTTAATTATAAACTTTGGGGAGGGAGAATCAAAGCTGCATAAGGCTAGGGAGAGAAGTGCACTTCCATCGGGCCAAATAGGCCAATTGCATTTCAAGCACATTATTACCCATCGAATTTCTACCCATCTACAGCCTGCATTAGGATGTAATGAGCTTTGTATCTTATTTGGAAGGGAGTTAATCACAAGCATGAGGGGAAAGAAATAGCAAGTGAATATGGAACCACAATTTAACAATGTTGATACACAGACAATATTGATTTATAATGAAGTAATAACATTTATCACCTACGTTAAATGAATAAATATACTTTAATTTGCAAGTAGCGTAAGAAGTTGCATTGTAATAGAAGAAAGCCAACACCAATTCGTTGTAATGACGGGGTTCCGCCGCGATGGCCGGTTCTGTTTCGGAGGACTGGAACCAGAAATTGTTCGTAGATGGGAACGAGGATGAGGGCGTTAACGGCGCTGAAAACGGGAACAGAGCCTGCCGGAATTGTGAAATTGGGGCCGAGCTTTCGGTCCATGATGGTGGCTTGGCCGACGTAGAAGGTGGAGAGTTGGGCGAATGAGATTGAGAGGGCAATCGTCGAGGAGAATTCTCAAGAAGCATTTGAATTCTTCAACTTGAGTTACTGTGCAGGTTCTCCATCGATTTTTCATGTTTGTTTCTAGATCTGCTGATTCTGTTCTCACTGCTGCTTTATCCAAGAATCTGATAGAAAAATAAATGAAAATTTTCAGCATTTTCTCAGTAACCAAACAAGAATTAATCTTTGAGAAAACGGAAAATCTTACTTGTACTGATTGGTATGAGCAATTTTTCGAGCCCCAGAAATATCTGACTCGGTCGTGTCACCCTTATAAAGATCAGCCTCATTTCTGACTTCAACTCCTCTGAAATGGTTCCTCTCTGCTGCCACAATGACCTGAAAAAACCTGGTAAAAGGACTTCCGGTACCGGTAGAAAGGTGCTCCGGTAGCCAAGCTGATGACAGAGAGAACCATGATACTGGCAGGAACTCGAAGCCCTAAGCCCATCCCTTTTTATCTTGTAAATACACAAAAACCGTGATACCAAAGAGTGCCCCCATGTTTATGGCGAAGAAGAACCAGTTTAAGAATGCGGACTTCTTCGGGACTTCTTTGGGATCGTCTTCGTCGAATTGATCCGCGGAGACTGAGGAGACGCACGGCTTGATTCCGCCAGTTCCAAGGGCTATAAACGCCAGTGCAAAGTAGAGGAAATTGGTTTGGCGGTCGGTTGCTCTTATGCAAGGCTTGGCCGTGCATGGCGGCGGATGGAGGCTGTCTATGGC